CTAGTAATAGGTAGATACTTAATTAGGCGCTCAAAAGGCGCAGGTATGGCTAGAATGTATCCTCATCAGAATGTACTTGTCTGGAACCCCCTTGAAAAGGGCACCACATGATCCTATAAATCTAATATGTAATAAAAGCGGGAAGCCAAAGAGGCTAACCTTGACTACAAAAAAAAACAAAATCTAGCTTATGAAACCGCCTTCGGTGTTATAAGTAAAAAAATTCCTTGCTAAATTTTACTATAAAGTTTGTTATTTATTAAAACTTTAATCCAACCCTAACTTAAATAAAAAACCTTTTTGAAACGGGGTGTGAATTTCACACTGTTAATCGTAGTAATTATATAAAAGGTAATAACTCGGATTGGCTCACGGGTCAACCCGCGTGATCACCAGTAATAATAAATAGCAAACGCGTTTATATCAACATTTCACATTTCAAATGCAACGCGTGGCAAAAGCTAACAACGTTGGGCTAAATGACAGTTTGGGAGCTGGGAGGGCTGGTCGGACTCCAAAATTGAACAGGTTTTACTTATTTTGGTGGAATTAAAGTATTTCATAGATAATTATAATTGATTCTTTTAAGCATATTTTAGACGAACGAGTCTGTATGTCGGTAATGTTCAACCCAGTAATCAACAAGGTGGTGGTGGTTTAGGTGGACAAATAAAGGATATTCGACCTATTCGTGAAAAACCATTTCAGGTGGATTCAATTGATATAATATACGCATATGCTATAGAAAAGCTAGGGTTTCAAGGGGAATTGAAGGATTTTAAAATAAATACTTCAAAAGATTATTACACGTTATTCAAATTAGTATATCAGCGACTTGACCATGGTAAAGATATAACGAAAATAGACGAAATTGCAACTGCCTTGCGCGAATTAAGGTGAATTAATGTTGCATTCAATTTTATTATAATCAATTTTTTAATGACTTTTTTGTTTCAGGTACCCTTTCGCTAATGATATTACCAAATCGATGCTACAAGCTGTAGGGAGTGTTCAAAGCTGGCCACATCTTCTTGGTATTCTACTTGTCTTTTGTTGAAATCCATATTTATACAGTTCAAATCCAAATTAACCACGCATTTATTTTTTAGGTGCTATGAGGTGGTTAGTTGAATACGTCGCAGTAAGTGATGAATTTAGTGATTACGTAACAAGTCATGAATATACATCATTTTGCGTGGAATAGATAATATGGTCACCTTTTGTTCATTTTAGACATTAGAAAGCATCGAAGATCAAGAAGACGAAATTGAAGAGGGCGGTTTCAATCCTGATTCGGCATTTTTTAAATATGCCACTACTGCATATAACTTGTTTTTGGGTGGTGATGATGATTATTCGGAAGCGGCATATGAATTTGACGCTGCTTATGGTATTAAAGATTTTAACTAATTGTGATATAAGCGCATAAATGTCTAACAAAATATTATAATACATTAGAACAAAGTAACGCAGATATTATTGCTAAGAGTGCAGAAGTGCAAAAAGAAGTTGAAGAACTTGAAAAGCAATTGAATGAAATGAGCGAAGTGAGGATATATTACTTATCAGGCTATGTATCATTCATTGTGCAATTACTTATCGGATTTATATAGGATCCTCTGACTGTTGCTCAAAATGAAAATAAAACTTTGCGGTCGGATATGAATAAATTTAATGCTTATACGAAACATTTGGAGGATAAAATTATCAAACTCAAAGATTATATCGTCAAATTGGATGAGGAACATAAAGGAAAAGGTTAGTATTACGCCATAGCCCAAGAGAGTGGGGTTTAGACAACTTTTTTTGTGTGTTTAAAACCGTTAGAGCTGTCAAGACCTGTTCTTGGACTATAATGAACCAGAGGTTTCAATTCTTGATAATTACTTATTTTTTTTTTTTCTTAATGAAAAGAAATTGAATTAGAAAAAATCGAAGAAGAAAAGGCCGAAATCCAGCAAAAGGTTGATAATCAACCAATATCCCCGGACGATGTTGAAAGGATGCATAAAGAGAGCGAACAGATAACGAATAATCGGAATGCCATTGCTGCTAAAGCAAAAGAATTAGCTAAATTACAATGGGAAAAAGGACTTGACCTTGAAAAAAGGATAGCCGATGTATTCCATTGTCGAGACTTATTTTTTTTTCGTTGTTTTTGAAAATATAAATCTAACCTTAAAAATCATTATGTAATAGATTGAAAAATTAATTCAATATTATAACACCAGTCTTTATCGCGTTGGTCTGTTGCCATCAAGTGCACAATATGCTGATGGTAAAGATTATGAATTGTCTCTTGATGTGAATGCAGATCGAATTGATAAAATAATATCGTTGGATTTGAGAAATTATGTTAGGGTACGTGGTGTCTTAAATGTTTTTGCACACTGTCACAACACTAATAATACATTAATATCAAAAGACCAAACTCTCAGAAGTCCGCGAAAAATTTAATAGCGAATATGATAAAATTCAAGAACAGATAACTTTAATGAGTGAAGAGATCCATCGACTCAGTGATGATAACACTGATAAAGAAATAGGTATGTTGATTGTCAATTTTATGATCTTTTTATTAGATGTGTTGAAATATATTTTTTATGCAATAGATCTAAATACATTGGAGGATAATAAGAATATACTAGCACGACAATTTGAGGAGGTAAAGCAGGAAAGTATTGTTCTTTATCATCTATATTTCGTAGATCAATACATGTCAAGTGAAGATACTATTTCACTTATTACAGTCTGAACAAAGCGAAATCGATACGCTGACGAAACGATGCACATCTTTTGAACAAAGGATTAGTCAGTTGCGATCCGAAGGCGCTGCAGTTTATCTTGAATGGAAACAAAAAAGCCAAGAAATTCAAATTCAGTACGTTTTTGGTGACCTATATATATGAAACTAAGTATAATTGCTAATATTGGTGGTTTTTTTTAGGTATGACCATTGTATCCATGAATATAATGCTGTTCAAGAAGCTGCATATAACGAGTTTATTCAGATAAAAAATGATCAACTTAGAAAACTTCAACATATCTCTAATGTTTTGACTGATTTAAAAAAATTTTCAGAAAATGAGTTAAACGAAGTTAAAAAATAAAGCATAATTAATGAATAAAGAATTTTTTGATTTTTCAAGGTAACAGGAACTGCACGTGATAATTTTTCGAGATCCGGCCTAAAAACTTCAGGTTGGAGGTTTTATAGACAAATAATAGCCATTTTTTTCAAAATAAAAAACCCCTTCAGAGTAGGGTGTCCAGGATTATGCGATGTGATGGGGGTAAATACGTCAATTATGCGATGAATGCGAAATATTAATAGATTTTATAGTATCCAAAAAATTGCCTCAACCTTGCTCGTCTTTTAAGGTTATTTATTTTCTACAACTGAACTGTTCGGAGTTTCTTTTCCACACTAACTATCGCATCTTAAGAAATATATCTACCAATCATATTTGAGCTATATAACCTGACCTGAATGCGAAGCATATGCTGCTTAACAGGGACAGCGTGCAGTACAGATTTTCCGGGGCACGTGATGTAGATCACTGCATATCACGTAATTGTCACCTGCA